GGGGGGGGGGGGGGGGGACTTCACTTCTCCAATGGATTGACATATAAAAGACACAAAACGGCACACTCTGTGCAAAATGTTTAAGTGTTCTCATGTGTAATGTTTGCATTGTAATTTAGAACATTCACTTGGTCGCGAAGTGGTTATCAACTTTAGAGAAAACTTTGGAAGCCTACAGTGAAGGCAGTCACGAGAACTACCGCGTCTACATGTCAGCTGAGCCTGCTGGCTCGCCTGATAGTCATATCATACCACAAGGTATTCTCGAGTCTTCAATTAAGATTACCAATGAACCTCCTACAGGAATGTTGGCTAACCTTCACCAAGCCTTGGATAACTTCAACCAGGTATATTTAATTTACTGTATTAGTATATAGTATGTCTTGTCATATACGCAGTATTTCTCTTGGTTCTCCAATTTCTTTCTGTATAGTAACAACGACAGATCCAGTATAGGGACCGTTTAGGCAGAACTGATAGAGCTCTCCAGTATAAATAAAGTTATATAGTTTAGTGTATGATTCTTGCGGTAACACTTTACGAACATATAATCCTCCTTATTGGACTTCTAGTTCCATACAGTTAGACTAATATCACGTATCCAACCAGTAGAGTTGGTTTTGTTTAGCTTTCCTTCTGAACAACACTAAATGGATGATGACCTTTACTTGATCTCTATATAGAAGAGTTGAGACCGAACTTACAAGGGCCATCCATGTGGAGCTAGTTTAGATTTCCTTCTGTAGTAACACTGGATCAATAAGGGATGAACCTTGCTGAACGCCCTAGCGAGAGCACTTCTGGAGCTATCTAGTATAAAACAGATAGTTTAGTCATGATATATCTTGACTGTTTTTAATTATCTTTCCAGGACACGCTGGAGATGTGCGCTCGTGAAAATGAGTTCAAGAGCATCTTGTTTGCTTTGTGTTATTTCCACGCCGTTGTCGCTGAGAGGCGAAAATTTGGTCCCCAAGGTTGGAATCGTTCGTATCCATTCAACACTGGTGATTTGACCATCAGTGTCAATGTCTTGTATAACTACCTTGAAGCTAATGCAAAGGTATGTCGTTTGTTGAAGATAATATGTACAGCACTATTATGAGAGTTCTCGTGAGCATACTACTGGATTCTGGTATACATATATTAGCGTGCTTATTAGCATTCCTTATTTTGGTATCTCATAACCACGCTAATATATACTCCAAAATCCTGTATACTTCACAGTATGAGCACGCTCATATATACAACAAGGAAAATCTATAATAACCAACATGCAATGGCAGGAGTTCAGTTTTTACATTCGGAAATCCAGGTATGGAAATTTAATTTTTTTTCCTGTGCCTGTACGTCACTCAAAGAAAACGCACGGACGATTGTTCACGTGTGGTGGGATAACGGGGGGAAACAAGGGACAACTGAGTGTTTGTTATAGTAATATTTATCAAACTTTGCATATGCACTAAATTTCCTATAATTCACTGTATTTAAATTTCACAGATGTATAATTTAATTCACATGCCACATAAGTATTGATTGAGATAACTCAGATTATTATATAGATTATATAGAAACTTCTGTTAAATATAACTTGTGTGAGTAGATTTAAGTTAAGGCATATTTTATCAACCTCCTGTGTTGCGGAAATTTGCTGAGATTTTCGGCAGGGTGGAGACTGACGGGGCTCCCCTCCTTGGAAACAAAATGAGAAAGATAGAAATTTTGCATGTTTTATTTACTTTACTTCAAACATCTAAAATACAATGTTTACATACTTTTTAAATTAATAGCATTATATATTTTAAGCGTTTTTACTTTGGGTCGAATACGTTGCCTTTTTTACAAGTGGTGTACATGATTACAGACCAGATTTCAAATTAATCACTGTTCATTAATTACTGTTTAATTACTTATTCTATATACACACATGTTTTCTTTATATATATATATTAATACGTGCTTGCATGCCTGCTTAACTTGCTTGCTTACTTAATTACTTATTTACACTTACACAGCCGACTTACTTCTACTATAGTCTATTCAGTGGAATTTCGTTAACTGGCGGATTATTCTTTGCCGGGAAATATTTTTTCTTGAGCAACTGATAATTTCTTCGTGTGAAGACAAACGCAATACCAATGTAGCACCAGTAAGCAACGCTACAGTATACAACGCTATCTTTATCTCGAAATCAAAATCCACGATTCTAGATATGAAGAGAGGAAACCAATAACTTAAGGCAAACGCTGCAGTGGCCGACAGCTTGAGCAATATGACAAATTTGCGACGCTTAACAATATTCGATTTCTGTGCAATATTCCTGCTGGCCTTGAGTTTTTGGTGAATTCGATAAGCAGTGAAGATGAACATTCCAATAATGTACAACAAAAGACAACCTTGAATACCATATACATCAACAGCAGCTGACCAATCGGGAGTAATTTGACCATTGATACAATCTCCAGAGATCTGTTGATAAATCCTTGCATCATCTTCCTTCCCATCTCCATTCGCAAATACAATACGTTCATAAAACTTTAAGCTTGACTGAACATCTTTCTTTAAAGATATAATAGGTTGATAAATCCTTGCTACAGTGCTTTGATTTAACCTCAACTTTGACCGACGAACATCTCCCTTCAATGATGCGATACGGTGAAAAATCCTTATTTTATATGCCGTCGCATCTCCATTCGCAAATACAATGCGTTGATAAAACTTTGAGCTTGACTGAACATCGTTCTTCACAGACACAATAGGTTGATCAAACCTTATAACATCTTCCTTTACTAGTACAATGTAAACAATCGTTATAATGACGGGAACTCCCCAGCTAACGAGAGTATACTTCAAAAACCTGTTCCACTTCTTCAGTTCATCAGATTTCACTAGAGTATTGCCACAAAAGGTTTTTCTTAAGTGATAGATATTAACCGCAGCATTCATAATTATACTATACGTCATAAACTTATTTGCTACAAACAGCCTAGCACACGGTATCTCAAACAGTTTACCTACACGAGAATACAGTGACAAAAATACAACAAGGTAAGTCTGCCACAACAGCAAGGCGAAGCTAAAACTCATTAAATTCAAACCAGGAAGTGTGCGCAGTTCTGGAAGCATGCAGTAAACTATCAACAACAATAGCAAAGAAATAATAGAAAGCGCTAAAGCACATAATGGTGCTATAATAATCTTAAAGTTTGAAATTACGTAAATTGGTCTCAAATTTTCTTTGCCGCATACATAAGGTTTACCGTCTATCACCGCATAGTCATTTCTTTTGAAATATTGACCGTTATCTGCCGAATACACAGCAAACTGCTTTGTCACAGTGTAGTATCTTGCATTTAATGTATAAGAACGATAACAGGATGCGGGTAAAGACTTTTGCCACGAATTTCGCGTTCTCCAAATCGCCTGAACTCTTGAATCATTGGAACCACACATTTCAAGACTGTCGTGGCTGAATCGATATTCGCGATAATCGTATGTTTTGTTATGGTGAAACAGCGAAAAGTTTTCAAAAACGTTGTATTGTTCATCGTACTTCACTTTGGACAAATAACCGTTGCAGGACAATCTGAGCTTTCTTGAACAAATTGCAAAATACCCCATAATCACTCCGTAATCTTGCCTTCTAAATTTTTGATTGGTAGGTTTGAAGAAAACAGTAAAGTTTGTATGTAGTGTGTAATTTTCGGAATAAAAACCGTCCACATATACATTACAATGTTTGAAAGCTGTCTTTATCTTTTCCGCAACAATGAAATTCCGCCATTTTTCTTTAATGAGACGGTCAGAAGAATTACAAACTTGTAGACCATCGTCCGTTATTCTGTACGCATCATAAGAGTACATTCGACCTTGGTACATCATTGAGAAGTTGTTCCAAACTCTGTAGTCATCTTCATACTTTATAGAAAAGGTAAAATTGGCGCATTCCGTCACACATGTTATAAGTCCACCTTCAACTCCTAAACCGTACTTTCTTATCAGCTGCTTTGTTGCCAAAATCTGAACTCTGAAATCCTTAAGCACAGTGTATTCCTTTCGACCGAACTGAATGTATGTAATGGATTTATTGCAACTTTTTTCATGCATTCTCGCCTTTACCAATTTATTGCGTAGTTTCCAAATATTTCGTACGTAGTTATCAGTGGAATTACAAATCTTTACGCCATCATTCAGAACTCGATACTCGGTATAATCGTACACCTTGTTCTTATAGATTATTGAAAAGTCAGTTCCAACTTTGTATTCATCATCGTATTTTATATTGATGATTGAATCCTTGCAAATTAGTAGATCTTCCTGGGTATACTCTGTTGATGAGGATCTTAACTTTTCTTGGCATATATAAAGTTTACCGTTTTTCATCCCATAGTCATTTCTTGTGAAATATTGACCACGACTTCCCAAATAGACAGTGAACTGCTTATTTACAGTGTAATACTTTCGGTAAAACCACAAGGTTCTAATTGGTTTATTGCAACTTTTTTCATGCATTCTCGCGTTTACCATGCATTTATTGCGTAGTTTCCAAATATTCCTGACGTAGTTATCAGTGGAGTTGCAAATCTTTATGCCATCGTTCAGAACTCGATACTCAGTATAATCATACACCTTGTTCTTATAGAGTATAGAAAAGTCAGTTCGAACGTTGTATTCATCATCGTATTTTATATTGATGATTGAATCGTTGCACATTAATAGATCTTCCTGGGTATACTCTGTTGATGTGGGTTTGAACTTTTCTTGGCATATATAAGGTCTACCGTTTTTCACCCCATAGTCATTTCTTGTGAAATATTGACTCGTAGCTGCGAAATAGACAGTGTACTGCTTATTCACAGTGTAATACTTTCGGTACAACCACAAGGTTCTAATTGGTTTATTGCAACTTTTTTCATGCATTCTCGTGTTTACCCATTTATTGCGTAGTTTCCAAATATTCCTGACGTAGTTATCAGTGGAGTTACAAATCTTTATGCTATCATTCAGAACTCGATACTCAGTATAATCGTACTCCTTGTTCTTATAGAGTATAGAAAAGTCAGTTCGAACTTTGTATTCATCATCGTATTTTATATTGATGATTGAATCGTTGCACATTAATAGATCTTCCTGGGTATACTCTGTTGATGTGGGTTTGAACTTTTCTTTGCATATATAAAGTTTACCGCCGTGCACCCCATAGTCATTTCTTGTGAAATATTGACCACGACTTCCCAAATAGACAGTGAACTGCTTATTCACAGTGTAATACTTTCGGTAAAACCACAAGGTTCTAATGTGTTTATTGCAACTTTTACGATGCATTGTCGCCTTTAGCCATTTATTGCGTACTTTCCAAATATTCTTGACGTATTTATCAGTGGAGTTGCAAATCTTTATGCTATCATTCAGAACTCGATACTCAGTATAATCGTACACCTTGTTCTTATAGAGTATAGAAAAGTCTGTCCGAACTTTGTATTCATCATCGTATTTTATATTGATGATTGAATCGTTGCACATTAATAGATCTTCCTGGGTATACTCTGTTGATGTGGGTTTGAACTTTTCTTTGCATATATAAAGTTTACCGCCGTGCACCCCATAGTCATTTCTTGTGAAATATTGACCACGACTTCCCAAATAGACAGTGAACTGCTTATTCACAGTGTAATACTTTCGGTAAAACCACAAGGTTCTAATGTGTTTATTGCAACTTTTACGATGCATTGTCGCCTTTAGCCATTTATTGCGTACTTTCCAAATATTCTTGACGTATTTATCAGTGGAGTTGCAAATCTTTATGCTATCATTCAGAACTCGATACTCAGTATAATCGTACACCTTGTTCTTATAGAGTATAGAAAAGTCTGTCCGAACTTTGTATTCATCATCGTATTTTATATTGATGATTGAATCGTTGCACATTAATAGATCTTCCTGGGTATACTCTGTTGATGTGGGTTTGAACTTTTCTTTGCATATATAAAGTTTACCGTCTTTTACCCCATAGTCATTTCTTGTGAAATATTGACTCCGAGCTGCGCCATAGACAGTGAACTGCTTATTCACGGTATAGTACCTTGCTTCGGATAATTTATCAACAGATCCGCGGCATGTATACTGGTCTTTAAACTTTTCCCACGAAGTTCGAGTTCTCCAAATGGCCTGAATTCTTGAATCATTGGAAGCACACATTTCAAGACCTTCGTTTCCTAAGTGATATTCACGATAATCGTACATCTTGTTGTTTGTAAATAGCGAAAAGTTTTGCAAAACGTTGTACTGATCGCCGTATTTCACTTTAACCAAATAATCATTGCAGGACAGACTAAGCTTTGCCGAACAAATTGCAAAATATCCAAAAGTCACTCCGTAATCTTGCCTTCTGAAACTCTGCTCAGTAGCTTTGAAGAAAACAGTAAAATTTTTGTATAATGTGCATGTAATTGGGATATTGAAATCCGTCCATGGATACATTACAATGTTTGGAAGCCAGCACTTCCTTTTCCCGAGCAATCAAATCCCGCCATCTTTGTTTAATAAAGGGGTCTGAAGAATTACAAACTTGTGGACCGTCGTCCATTACTCTGTACTCGTTATAACTATACATTCGGCTTTGGTACATCATTGAAAAATTGTTCCATACTCTGTAGTTATCTTCGTATTTTATAGTAAAGGTAAAATTGGCGCATTCGGTCGGACTTTCCAAGATCACATCAATTTCGCGTTTGTTCCGGAGATGTTGAGTTGTGAGTGAAGCGAACGTTTCTCTTTTGGTTATTTCTCTCAAGTGATTCTCGTGAAAAGTTTGATTTTCCAATGAAGATATATTTTTACTGCCATCGTTTTGCCATTCTGTCTCATTTGAGTGGAAGATGGTTGTCGATTCTTTGCGTGGAACATTTAACTCAGACGGCGGTGAAGTTGAAAAAGGCAGTACTGGGTTCTTTTCCATTCTTTGACTTCGGAGTGTTTTCATCGCAGTTCCTGAAAATAAATTATGGTTAACAATTACTCTTTCTGAAGTGCTAACATTCTCACATTTTCAAAATTTACCTTTTCTAACCATCTTTGGAAGATCAGTTTTCTTCCGCGCCTTGCGGCGATCAATTTGTTTATCATTTTCTGTCAAGTTAGAGACGCGTTCGTCTTGTTCGAGAGAAACATCAACATTCAAGGCTTTACCTTTGAATTCATCTTTTAATTTTTTCGGTTCTGTTTTGGCTTTTCGCCTGTCATACTCTGAACCACCACCATGATAAAAACAGGTGAAAATCAGACAGAAGGAAAAGAAAACGACTCGATACAAGAGTCGAAAACTAAAGCCACGACCCATGTTGCCACTGCAAGCGTCGTTCAGCAACTGTGTATTATTTCGTCAAAACACAAAGTTTAAAAACGTTTTCAAGTTTGAGTTTTTTATTTCACCAGCTGTTCTACTGATCACTCGAAACGCCATTAAGGTGGCTCGTGACAGATTTCAAATTTCGGATTAAAGTAGTTTGATATTCTCAAGTTTCGTGTTTTTAAACGTTGTACAGGGGATATTGGGTTGTATACAGTCGTACGAGAAATTACCAGGTTTGCTTTTAATAGGGCGTTTTTATCTAAAGCTTCTCGTCGTTTGGAAAACAAGAACGGTAACAACCCTAATTTTTTTCATGTATGTTCACCTTTATCGGCAAAAGAAAAGCAAAATTTCGCTTCCCTCTTAATTTAAATTTCTTGGCAATCATCAAGCGACACGTACATGCATGCATATTGCGTGGCATTGTGTACCTTTAATAAGACGTTTTTCATGGGTATAAGTGTTCTACTCAACTTCAAAAGCTCCGTTGAATTTTTGTTGTGGACAACCAAGTGCATATTAGCAACAAAACGGTCAAATAATTGACCCGTATTACATGGGTTTTAATATTCATAGTAGTCGAAGACCTTTTCACCTGCTTCATAGCCTTCAGACATTTGTCACGAATAATAGTTTTAAAATAGCAGTGGAAGCATGATATTTCAAAGCTATCAAAAAAGCACGACTGTGAATAGTTCATAAACCATTGATGAAATTGAACAAATTACAGTCACATGCATGCTATGCATGATTTGACCCACAAGTCTCGTTTTCGTGCCCACATGAAGTATTTAAATGTTTAGAGGATACTGTTTTGAAACGGACATGTTGCGTTCATGTTCCTATTAGGGAGTTTAAACAAGCAACGTTTTTGTCAAGACGGACGCCAGATTTCCGAGGATTGAAAACTGTGTTTGTATTAGTTTGTGGCAAGGTTATTTGCTTCCTTATATTTGCTTCCGAGCGCTATGGTGCTAAATGCAGTCAAAATTTATAGCCATACCAATTTTCGCGACGTCCCTGTCAACAAAAACGTTCGCTTAAGCTCACTATTACAACTGAAATAAAACTTGAAATCCGTTTCAGTGAGTGTCAGCATCACTAAAAGAAATCTATAGCATTGGCCGCAATTTTTATTGAAAACTTTTGTTGCCATATAAGCCAGTGGGCTTATTTACGGATAGCCTACGGTATAACGTGTTTCTGCTGGGGTCTACACCGTAGGCTAATATACGGACGACACTTGGTGTTAGTTTGTTCACAGTTAATAAAATAGGAAAACCGTAAACTACAGCCAAACGAAAGGAAATATGAACATATACGTCGTCGTCTAAGGTGTTGGAATCCGCGTCGATAGAAACATTCAGCCGTTCCGCACGTTGTAACCAACAATCTATTGGCGTTGTAATGCCAATCTATGCAATAAAGTATTGGGTTGTAATGGTCTACGATTAATCCAAACGTTAATCCTAATCCAAACCCTAATGCTAACCCTAACCTAACCTCTAACCCCTAACCTCTAACCTCTAACCTCCACCCAC